TCTCAGGTCTCAGGTTAGTCCACCTGTCTCTCAGGTCTCAGGTTAGTCCACCTGTCTCTCTGGTCTCAGGTTAGTCCACCTGTCTCTCAGGTCTCAGTTTAGTCCACCTGTCTCTCTGGTCTCAGGTCTCAGGTTAGTCCACCTGTCTCTCAGGTCTCAGGTTAGTCCACCTGTCTCTCTGGTCTCTGGTCTCAGGTTAGTCCACCGGTCTCTCAGGTCAGTCCACCGGTCTCTCAGGTCCTGGTCCTGGTTCAGGCTCTTGTTGGACAGGTGGACATGTGTTCATGGTGTCCTCTGTGTGTCCCCACAGGGAGTCTCAGTCCAGGTCAGTGATGCTTCATCATCAGGACCAGCATGTGGACTCGGCCCAGGGTGGGACCAGGACCAGGACCAGSTCCTGTCTTCAGAACAAAGACCCTAACTTCAACTTCCTGCCGGGAGAACCGGAGAGGGTCTTCACGGCGAAGAGAGGAAGAGGAGGAGATGAGAACCGGAACCAGGTCTGTCCCCGGGACCCTCTGAGTCCCACATCCTCGGGTTTCCACCACGGCTCGGGGGTCACGTCCCCGCGGTCCCGCCTGCCCTGCTGGAGCCCCCTGGAGCCACTTCCTGAGGTCGGGGAGGACGGGTACGGTCGGGTCCCCCCCGACGGGGCGGAGGAGCAGAGGGGGGAGGGGGAGGAGGGCGGGGCCATGATGATGATGATGAAGAGGGACGGGACCAGGAAGGATGAAGGTGACCCAGACCTGGACCAGGAATGGGGGGACAGTGAATCGGAGTCCGAGTTCAGCAGCCAGTCCGGCGCCAGCATGTCCTCCCTGGACGAGGAGAGCGGGGGGGAGGAGCCTCTGGTGAGGGGCTGGGACCGGGTCGGAGTCGGAGAACCCAAACCCAGCCCGGAGGAAGCTGACCCCACCAGGACCAGCAGCCGAGGCCTGAGCCCTAAAGCCCTGACAGGAAGTGGTCTGGAGGACCAGCAGCAGGAGCGTAACCATGACAACGAGCAGTCCTCAGACTCGGAGGCGGAGCTGATGGACGCCGTGTGGACCCTGAGGGACCGCGAGCGCTTCAAGGCCCAGGAGATGGAGAAGCACCAGGTCCAGCTCACCATGTACCGCCGGCTGGCTCTGATCCGCTGGGTCCGGACCCTGCAGGGCCGGGTCCAGGAGCAGCAGAACCGCCTGCAGTCCAGCTTTGATGTCATCCTGACTCACAGGAAGGAGCTGCTGAGGATGGGGGCCGCCRCCGCCGTCAGCCAATCATGAGGAGGCGTGCAGCTGGGCTGTGACATCAATGAAAGAATAAATAACATCAACAACACAAGTCATGTTTATTATTTATTTATTTTAACCAAAGTAAACTTTAATCTGAGAGAAACTAAAACACGTCAAAGACTTTCAACTCAGACAATCCTAAAACATCTGGTTCTATCAGAACCTTCAGCAGAACCACAGGGATGGTCAGGGTATAAAAGATGACATCATCCAGTAACAATGACATTCAGTAAAGATGACATCATCTAATAAAGGATGGCATCATCCATTAAAGATGACGTCATCCAGTAACAATGACATCATTCAATAAAGATGACATCATCCATTAAAGATGACATCATCTAATAAAGGATGACATCATCCAGTAATGATGACATCATCTAATAAAGGATGGCATCATCCAGTAATGATGACATCATCTAATAAAGGATGATATCATCCAGTAATGATGACATCATTCAGTAAAGATGACATTCAGGAAAGAAGACATCATCTAATAAAGGATGACATCATCCAGTAATGATGACATCATCTGATAAATGATTACATCATCCAGTAATGATGACATCATCTAATAAAGAATGACATCATCCAGTAATGATGACATCTAATAAAGAATGACATAAAATAAACAATGACATCATCTGATTAAAAGATGACATCATCTTGTTAAGAGCTGCAGACATCAGCTGCTTCATGTGACCCAAAAGGTTCTGTTTGTGTTTGTCTTTTGACTGATGTCTGAAAATATTTATCTGTTGTTGTTTATCTGAAAGATGTTTATTTGTTGTTGTTTATCATAAAGATGTTTTTGTTTGTTCTGATTTGTTTATCAGAAAGATGTTTGTTTATCTGTTGTTTATCACAAAGATGTTTTTGTTTGTTTATCTGAAGTTTGTTTATCAGAAGGATGTTTGTTTGTTTGTTTATCAGAAGGATGTTTGTTTGTTTGTTTATCTGAAGGATATTTGTTTGTTTGTTTGTTTGTCTGTTGTTTATCTGAAGCAGAATAAAACATCAGAGCTGTTTCTGGGTCTCAGGCTGGTCTTATCAGCACCGGTGGAACAGAACTTGTTCTTTGGTGGTCCGGATCATGTGGTTCTGTTTGTGCAGTGACCCGGTTCTGACAGTGGGCTCTTTGTGTCTGGGCCCGTCACACGGCTGCCTGCTGGTTCCGTGTGATCTGTGTGAGGCTGCAGCCTCCGGTGGTTCTGCTCCATCACGACTGTGTGCTCGGTGGTACCACTGGTACCGGTACCATCTTTAGCGGGCCCTGCTCTGGCCCTTTGACACAGCCTCAGAGGTTCTGTTTGGAGCGGGTCCATCAGCAGATGATCTGATCAGAGGAAACCCGTCTGGTACCAGCAGAACCTTGAAACCCGTCTGTTTATTTCCTGAAACACTTTGAAGAGTTTGGACCAGAACCTTTGATCCGATCAGAACTGATCAGARCTAAAAATTCAAACCTGTAAATAAACTGAGCTGAGACACCTGAAGAACCCCCATCTGGACCTCCTGGACCACCAGACCTGTAACCGGTGGGTTGCCGGTTCAATCTCCTGCTCCATCAGTTTCACTTGTTGTGACTCTGGACCCAGTTTCCTGCTGGTGGTGGTCAGAGGGTCCGGTCTGCCAGCCTCTCCCCCAGGACTGTAGCAGCTGCTGTTCTCTGAACTGACCAGCAGGGGGCGACAGTCACCAGAGAAAACATTTACCTGCTCAGTACTTTATTATTATTATTA